TACTAGTATCAAATAATAATAATTCACATTGAACACATTTTGCTTTGAGAGGACAAAACATTAAAATGCCCTTTCCTTTATGGGGTATAGCACCTCATTGGCATTTTTATCTTACGTAAGATAAATGAAATTATTTATAATACAGGGTTTGGGAGAACTCATGTGTCCTGCAGTCTTCATGAGAGAAAATAAAATAATAAGGCTGGTTGCAGACATTTAAATTTCTTAATTTCCAAATTAACAATTTGAAGTAAATCCAGAGTAACTTCAATGTAAAATTCTTTACAAATTCAGGTTTATTCCTTTTGTACTCTGTAAGTTCATATTCAAAATATCAGGCATATATTTTCTATTTCTGTAGAGTCATTAGTTTAGACTCCATAAATCTTAGTAACAAGAGAGTCTTTTCTTAACACAATTTTGTTCTCATAATTGGTATAATTTCTTCCTATGTCCCTTGATTGACCAAATCCTGGAAAGGTAGTGCCTTCTCCTCAAATTTTTATCCTTTGTCACTTATGAGGGTTAATCCTACAGACTTAAAAGAGGTTATAAAAACCCCAGCAAGTTCTTGCCATTATTCAGCCGTATAAACAATACTATCCTTTTCTGGAATCCTTCCTAGCTTTGCTCTGTCAGGCTGTCAATAAAAACCTAACCATTTGGGCTTTTCTTCTTGTTATAGATTAAGCTCTTGTATTTTTTTTTCCCCTTTGAGTCATCCCAAGTATAAAACTTCCACTTTTCTGGAGCTAGCAAGACCTAGGCCTCTACAGTATATTCAGACAACAAGCTAGTGTACTTTTGGAGAAGACAGGACAGGGCAGATTTAAAGTACTTCTATTCTTTTGTACCAGATCCCATTCATCTTCCATTTAGCCTGTATGTACAGTAGAAATGAAGGCAACCAGTGCTGACAAAGGCCCAGTAGCTTGATCATATAGGAAAATATACAAAATAGATACTGTTGGGTTCATGGCTCACAAACAAGAACGACAACCATCAGGACCCTGTGTCTTCTTTCCTATAACTAACCTTACGATAACTTGAATGAATCAGTGGTAAGAAAACAGACAGAGATGGATAAAATTCTGGCAAGCAGGACCTTAGGGGGAGAAAGTCAGCAAACTTGTGCCTATAAAATCAACAAACAATAGAACCTTTTCCTGGGGAAGACCTGTGTTTTCTTGACAGGACTAATAGAACCAGAACCACAAGAGTAGAGGACAACCTTAGTTACTCAACAGTCTGGCAAGGCTTTGGCGGTTATAAAAGCAGCAAAGTCTCCTCGAGCCAGAAATAGAACAGATCAGGTACAGATGACAGAAAGTCATCCACCCAGGGTCATCTCTGAGGCAGGGGTGGGGATCTCCATGAAGGGCCAACCTTCAACCCAGAGCAGCTACCAAAGCTGCAAAGCCACTCATTTTGAACAGCTTCTATTAAGAAAGAAATCAGACAAACACAATCCATCTTGGAGGATTCCTTCTCAGAATTGTGTGTTGGTTAAGCCATTCAGTCTAAGGCGTCTGTGTATTCATTTTCTTGCAGAGATTAAATCTTTCTCACTTAGAGTGGGCCCAAAGAAGAACCATTAAGGTTCGATTCCTGCCACTGCCACCCCCCAAAGCCAGCATGCTGGGATCAGAGAACAGCTACGGCATCTGACTTCAGTCCCAGGACTGTAGGAGAAATATTCTAACAGGCTTCTGCTAACTGGCCAAGACATGTTGTCTTCTTGTGTCTACATGGGAGAGACTCTCATCTAGAGAGTAAGAATCTCTCATTCTTTGTACTAGTAGCCCAAGCACTGGCCTAGTTTCTGGCACATACTAACCGGGCATTTAATGGACATTTGTTTATCGATCAAGACTAGGCGTAGAGCCCAGATTCCACAGGACTAAGCTAAAGAATGTAGAGTTTAAATAAGATAAGTGAGACACCCATATGCAGGGTAGCTTTAGAAAGGGAGCCTGGGAGACTAGTTAGGCTATTTCAGCAGTCCAGAAACAAAGTAATAGTTCGCATTTATAGATAGTTTCAGGGTTTACAAAATACTTTCCTCACCCTGAGCAAGATTGATGGCAACAATGACAATAGAAAAGAAGAATGGAAGCAAGAGACATTAAAAAAGGATTAATTGACAGGACTTTACAGATTTACTTGACAGATACTGGAGGGAGGGGGAAGGTTTCAAGGATGTTTTTAATTTTAATCCTGAGTGACTTAAGGAACAATAGTACTATTTTTTAAAAAAAAATTATTTTTTTTTAGTTTTCAACATTCACTTCCACAAGATTTTGAGTTCCAAATTTTCTCCCCATCTTTCCCCTCCCCCTATCCCATGATGGTGTGAATTCTAAATACCCCTTCCCCCAATCTGCCCTCCCTTCTCTTATCCCCTTCCCCTTCTATTTTCCTTTAGGGCAGGATAGATTTCTATACCCCTTTGCCTGTATATCTTATTTCCCAGTTGCATGTAAAAACAATTTTTAACATTCATTTTTAAAACTTTAAGTTCCAAATTCTCTCCCATCCTCCCTCCCCACCCACCGTCATTGAGAAGGCAAGCAATTCTATATAGATTATACATGTGTAGTCATGCAAAACACTTCCATAATAGTCATGTCATGGAAGACTAACTGTATTTCCCTCCATCCTATCCCTCCCCCTGTTTATTCTATTCTCTCCTTTGACCCTGTCCCTCCTCAAAAGTGTTTGCTTTTGATTACTCCCTCTCCCAATCTGCCCTGCCTTCTATCATCCCCTTCCCCCATCTGTTTCCCCCCTATTTTCTTGTAGGGTAAGATAGATTTCCATATCCAGTTGAGTGTGTATGTTATTTCCTCCTTAAGCCAAATCCAACAAGAGTAAGGAAGAATGATAGTACTATTGACAGAAATAATGAAGTCAAGATTTTTTTTGTTTTGTTTTTTTAAAAGACATGAGTTTGGCTTTAGACATTTTAAGTTAGATTTGATGGCAAAACATCTAAATGGAATTATCCAGCAGGCAGTTGGAGATGTAGGAGTAAGTTGGCTACACAGATATGTGATCATTGTTGAGTTTGGTTCTGGACAAACAGGAATTGCATGTTCTGGTAAGCGTGCTAATATTTTGTAAATGGGTTAGAACTCTTAATTCAGGATCTTGATATTCATAATTTACTAAACATTGCCTTATGGAATTTATAGATTGGTTTAGAAAACAGCCTAAAAATGCTTTGGGGCTATTGATTATAGTAAAATGTTGCTTCCTAAATTATACATTGTCTTTATTTTATGAAATATCTAGAAACTATGGTATTAAAGATATATATGTGATAGCAGCAAATTGTGCCAAGGTCTCAAAGCTGTTGAATTTGCGTTTAGCCAGTTGTTTGGACTGGACCCATCAAATTGAGAGTTATATCCTATTTGCTCCCACTTCATTGCATGGGGATGACATGCCTCATTTTTCATCTCTTTCTCTTTCAAGTGGTGATAGAGATCTCCAGGCAGAGTATTGTTTTGCTTTTTGAAAACAGGTGAAAATACCTACTCCACCAAAAATGCCAGGTACACACAAGAGTTTGACATTTTTAGCAAATGTTGGCAAGTGAATACATGAATTAAAATCGAAAGGAGTTATAGGAGTAAAGAGAAAGCCTTGTAGAATTCACTTGAAATACAGTGTAAGAAGACTGTTCTCACTGCTTGTCTGTCAGTTGACTGGGACTTTTCAAAGTTTAATGCTTTTGTAAAGTCTGATATGTGCCCTTCTTAAAGATTGCTGTTTCTATTATTAACTTAAGAAGCAGCAGTTTAAACTATAGTATCTTACACAGTGGGAAAAGACACAGAGTTACTCAAATTCACTTTAGCACATAACACATAAAAAATGCATTGCATTGCTCTCAAACTTCTAGCTGATGTAATTCACACGGATCAGTTTTAGTATCTTAATAACCAGATGTTATACTACAGCTTTTCCACAAGATGGAGACAAAGCACATGCTTCGTAAACTTTTTACACACAGGAATTTGTATGTTGCAGGAATTTGTTTCTCTTTCTCCCTAAACTTAATTTTCAATTTTCTAAAAGGTTTTCTTGTTTCCTTCCTTTCCACAATTGTCATTTTTTTCTACTTAGTTTACTCAGAATTTTAATGGAAATTCAAAGGTTTTTTTTTTTTTTAGATTCTTGTTAATTGCTAAGCCATTTTTATTTTGTATTTTGGGGTTATTGGTTTTGTTTTGTTTTTGTGGCAATTTTGTAGTAATTGGGGATAAGTGAGTTATCCAGCATTACACAGCTAATAAGTGTCAAGTATCTGAGGCCAGATTTGAATTCAGGTCCTCCTGACTCCAGGGCCGGTGCTCTATCCACTGTGCTACCTAGCTACCCCCTATGCCATTTTTAAAATTTGTTTTGGGAAAAGGCTCGTGATGGAAAATGCTGTCCACATCCAGAGAAAGAACTGTGGAGTCTGAATGCAGATTGAAGTATATTATTTTCTTTTTTTGTTTTTTCTTTCTTGTGGTTTTTCCCTTTTGTTCTGATTTTTCTTTCCCAACATGACTAATGTGGAAATATGTTTAATATGATTGTACATGTATAGCCTGTATTAGATTGCTGTCTTGGAGAGTGGGGAAGGGAGGAGGAGGAAATATTTGGAACTAAAAATCTTATAAAAGTGAATGTTGAAAACTAAAAATAAATAAATTTTTAAAAAATTTGTTTTTGGAATAACTAGAACATATATTATATCTTCACAAACCAAAATATTTAATGATGTTATCTGTGTATGTGAGAGTACCACCTTAGTATTTCTGACTTTTAACTCAGTGTGCATCATGAGGTAAACAACAGTTCTATTTTCTTTCAGTGAAAAATAGATGCTCATAGGATAGAATCATGTGTAAGTCAGTGTAGAGATAATCTATTATACACGATCTTGGAATTTTCCCCATCCCTCTTAAAATCACTACTTAGTCTTGATTTCTTTTTTTTTTCTTCAGCAAGCTTGTACCTTCATCGAGTCCAATCTAGATGCCAACAATCTTGACTCCCTTTTCTATGCTGCACAGTCCAGTCAGGTCCTTTCAGGATGTGAGGTAAGTCAAATCTCTTCAATCTAATATTACAGCCATTGAACTACACAAACCTCTTTTGACATCCTTCATGTTATTGGGGTCTGGGGGAAGAATTGCTTGGGGTTTAAAAAAATAAAAGTATTATTGTTGTTATTTTTTCCTGGAAGTTCTTTTTATAGCATTAATGAAGAGTTCAGTTCTGTTTAGTTTTTGCTTTTTCTTTTTTTGTAATATGAAGCTTTTTTTCCTGAATTTTGACTTTTTACATCCTTATCTGTCTTAGAAAACAAGTGAACAATCCTTCTTGTAACAGTTTTTCCCCTTGCTGTTTAGAGAAACCTTGATTTTCTTTTCTATCCCACCTTTTTTCTTGAAACAAAAAGAAAGAATAATATATACAAAAAATCCCTCCTCACCAAATTTCTAGAATGTTTATATTCCTGAATGTGGGACAGCAATTGTGCAGAGAAAAATGACTGTCCTTGCTAGGGATCCAGAAGCATTAAAACATCGGTGTGGGTGTGCTGGCAAGTTTGATGCCTTTCCGGTGTCACTTTGCTGTGACCAGAGGGGAGAGACCCTAGATTGCCTAGTTGCTTATACTGGATCTGAAATCCTCTGTATTTCTACTATTCTTTCATAGATTTCTATTTCCAATGAGACCAAAGATCTGCTCCATGCTGCTGTGAGTGAAGATTCATCAGTCTCTCAAATCTGCCATGCAGTTGGAGCCCTCAATGGCTTTGGCCTTCCTTTGGCATCTCAAGAAGCACTCAGTGCTCTCACTGCTCGTCTTAGTAAGGAGGAAACCGTGCTGGCGTGAGTCATTGTTAGGAAGCATTTCTTCAGCTCCTAATAACCTGCAATACTATTCTTATCACTGTGCTTAAAAAGTTGAATAGACAAGTTTTGCCCTCTAAGAGGAAGAAAATTACTAAACCAAGACGTGGATGGACAATAAGGTATAGAGTCAGAGACAGAGGTAGGAGGGATAAGTTAATCTCATGGGTAAAGACTAAAAATAAGAGAGAGTATGTAATTGACAATAATATCGATTTACTAATAATCACCAAGTATTTTCCTTACAATAATCCTGTGAGCTCGGTATAATTCAAGTTAATAATTATCATCCACATTTTACAGAAGAAGGTTTGATTGATTTGTCCAAAATCACACAGCTACAAAGTATTAGAACTGAGTTTTGAACCCAGGTTTCCTACTTTAGGACCAAAATTCTCTCTGTGACATCACATTGCTTCTCAGTGATTAGTTATAGGAGTCAGTTCTTTGTCTAGTCTGGCTGTACTGAGGACATTCCAAAAAGAAATAAGGCAAGATTTTAGGAATTCTTTAAATGAGATAAAAGTTGCTGGTGGCAGTTGCGGGGTGGGGGAGGGAGGTGAGAAAGAAAGTAGTGAATGAGGAAGGGGTTCTGTATGGCAAATAGGCTACTGCCTTGAAAAAAGTATCTTCAATAGTAGTGGCTCATATTCTAATTTATTTAATATTTAAAGCAATCTGACTTTTTGAATGGGCTGTTTGTCCCCTTTACAAAGTAGATTTAAGGGAAAAAAGAATTTGAAAGTTGCCAGTGTTGAATATTATAAATAAATTGCCCTAAATTGTCTGTTTTGTGTTAGTTTGCTTAGTACTCTCAAAAAGGAAGGAAATTGATGACTAAGGAATAAGTGTTTAGTAAGGCTCATGACAAAGCTGTTACCCTATAGCCAAGCAGATTTATTTTCATTTTTAAACTTCCTTTGAGAACTTCACAGCGTCACTATGACATATCCCAAAAAAAGAGGAAAGTTGTGTTTTAATTGAAAAATCCTTTTCTCTCACCTTCCTAGCTTTTTTCTGAGCTTTGTATCTATTATTGGAAAACACTGAGATCTTGGTCATGTTTAAAATTCAGTTTCATTCCCCAGCTGCACCATAATAATGATCCTTAAAGACTATATTTCACATTGACTCTCATACTTTCTTTTAGTGAACTACCACTTCCTTGTTTTATAATAAAACATTTCAGTGGAGTACGTTTTCCAGGAAACATGTTAGAATTGTTGTGAAGTTAATGGAGATCATTGAGCACAGGAAAATCTTTCACCTTGCATTCTCTCGATATTGATTTTATAAATGGTGATTGAACTCTAGGCAAGACTCTGCCATTGGTCTGGTACCTAAAAACAGTGAGCTCATTTGATCACCAGATGGCCTCAATTTTCCCTTTTTATCTAGAAGAGCACCATTTACATTTTTTGAGGTACTTTATACCTTCACAGAGAAGATTTAGATGTGGAAGGGAGACTTAGAGAATGTCTAATCCAGACTTCTAATTTTGTGGAAGAGGAAAATGAGGTTTAGAAAGATTAAATGGCCTAGTTGCCCAAATAAATAGCAGAACCAAGATTAAAACCAGTTCTCCTGACTTCTAGTTCATTGTTTTCTCTAATGCATTGTGTTGTTTCACAAAGGCAACATTTGTTATTGAGTTAATACTCTGGGCATAGCATCTTGCTAAGATTTGTGTGGCATTCAAAAATGTAAGTCAGTCAGTTTGCTGTCTGTGAAAAATTAACAATGTAAGAGATATCTTAAGATAGTATGTAATTAAGAGTTAAATTAGAGCCATAGATGAGAAATGCTGTGAATTTAGGGGAAGGAGAAATTACTGTGATTTGGGAGGAATTCACCCTTATCCAGATATTGGGGAAATTTTCCATCTTTTCCATAGGAGATGAAATATGTGAATATTGTTACCAAGAGTAGATGTAGAGCTTGCTTTCTGCCTGTTCACTATTTTGTTCTTGCTAGCACAATCTGAGGATGAAGGAAGAAAGGAAAGAAGTTAAAATACAAGTCATCATATGGTGCTTCTTGTGAGCAACTCTGATAAGATTTGTTAGAGGAAAAATTTGTCTACAAGTTAGGGATTATCCATAGAGTTAACACATACTCAGTCCCTCTATTTACTTGGGTAATTGAAGATCATGTAGGGGGATTGAATATATAACAGTAGACTCATGATCTCATTGATATGACTGCTTTCTACTGCAAATACAGTTTTTTCATGCTTTCTAATCCTATGCAACTTCAGTAAATCATTAAGCATTTGTTGTATCTGCTATGTGCTAGGCACTGGAGTTATGTATACAAAAGTGATAGAGCCCCTACCTTCAAGGGACTTATATTCTGCTAGGTTGGATGTATTATCTTCACAGATAAGTGAATACAAGGTATATACAAAATAAATGCAAAGTGATTTAGAAGGGAGGCTGCTGACATCTAGGGCAGTTGGGAAAGGTCCCAAGAAGGAGATGGCACTCACATAGACCTATGGGGAGCTAGTTCAAGAAGTAGAGGTGAGGAGAGAGAGCATTAGACTCAGGCCTAAGAGTCAACCTGAGCAAGGAGGCAGGCATGGGGTAAGGTATGATCAGCCTACAAAGAGAGATTGGAACCAGGTTGTAATGTACTTTAAATGCCAAATAGAAGAGCTTATATTTTATACTAGAGGTGTTTGAGAGCCCCTAACACTTCCTGAGCAGGGGTGTGGCATCATCAGAGCCACACTTGCCACGTGAGTTATCCATAAGGATCCATCCGCCTAATGGCTTGGAAGGTTTGAATATACTAGTGGAAGTGAAGTGGATGATACAATGCTGTTTAATTTGTGCTCCTCTTCCTAATACCTCCAGATGTTTTGTATTTCCTTTAGCGGCATGTGGCTAATATCTCCTTGGGTGTCACAAAGTACCTGTGAGTTAGGGATCATACAAATGGTGTATTTGTTTGACTGTTGAGGAGGTAAAGGCACCAAAAGGCCAAGTTACCATCACATAAGTCCGTCTAGGATGGTTCTTGGATCTCTTGCTTCCTTCTGGCGCTCTTTCTGCTGTTCTTATGACTTGTTCTACTTTGTCACAGAGTGGAACAGATGGGGGTGGTGCAATAAGAAAGGAAAATAACTGACACTGTTCAGGAAAGGAAAAGAGTGCAGCAGTAGAAGGTGTCAAAAAACAACTTGTTGGTTTGTATTTTGGATGAATGGTTTTGCTAATATCTACCCAGGATAATCTAAGATATAATAGGCATTGAAACTGGGTTTCTCAGATGGGGAAGCAGTATGGTTTACTGGAAAGAGCACTGAACTGGGGTCAAGAGACCTGCGTTCTAGTCTGGCTCTGTCATGAACCAGCTATATGACCTTCCCCTCCCTGAGCCTCAGTTTCCTTATTTGTAAAATTAAGGAATTGTATCATTTGGTCTCTAGGGTCTTCTTTAGCATCTTATGATTGAGTTTGATAATCACTAGATTCTGTTTTTTAATTAGATTAGAAACTATTATTTTGTTTTTTGTTTAAATCAGATTGTTTCGAATAATAGTATGCGTGTATATCTGAATAGACTTGCTCACTCCAGACTTGCCTTTTTCTACTCTTACAGAACTATTCAGGCTTTACAGACGGCATCATACTTATCTCAGCAAGCTGATCTCAGTGGCATCGTAGAGGAGATTGAGGTAGGTACTGAGCATTCCACCTTGGATCACCAGATAATCCGTCTGAAAATTCTCCAAATAGCCAGCCAGAGTAAAGAATGATTTGGTTTAGATATTTGTTTTACTACCCTATACTTCTTGAGAGAGAAAAGGGGATTAATTGAGCTGGCCTATACTTGTTGTGTTTACTTTTAATGCTTGACTGCAAGCAATTATGAAAAAACCTTCAAGTTGGAAGGGACCTCAGATTGGGTCAGCTAGTCTAGTATTTACCTAAAGCATAAATACCTTCTGTAGCATCCTCGATAATGATCAGCTTCTGATTGAAGAGCTAGAGCTGGGGAACTCTTTGGGGCCTTTTCCATTGTTGAACAACTCTCATTGTTTGGAAGTTGTTTCTTATATAGTGAGCTGAATCTTTTTCCCCCTGATTTCTACCCACTGGTCCTAGTTCTTCCCTTCTGGGACCAATTGTATGGTATAGTAGGTCAGAAACTGAATTGAGACTCAGCAAACTTGCATTAAAATCCCAGTTTTGTCATTTATGACCTATCTGTATACCAGGCAAGTCTTTCTACCTCCCTGGGTTGCAGTGGTTTCGTTCTTAGCCTGATGACAATGTTGAAGTAGCTGTTTGCTAAGATCCCTTCCAAGTCTAAATCCTGTGTTCCCAAGTCTAATTCCTTTATCACAGGATGGCTCTTTAAATATTTGAAGACAGTGTCTGTGTGTGTCTGTCTGTCTGTCTGTCTCTCTCTGTGTATATATGTATATACATATACATATGTATATATGTGTATATATATATATATATACACACATATATACATATACATACACATACATCTCTTACATCTTTTTTTTTTTTTAATCTAAACATGCTCAGTTCTTTCCACTAGTTCTCCATCATTGTTGCCATCCTGTGGACAAGCAAAGGACTTGTCATTATCCTTCTCAAAATATGGCATTCAGAAAACATAAGACTCCCTGTGGATTCTGATCCATCCTTAATACAGTGGGATTCGTTACCTTATTTACCCTAGACTGCTATTAATGCAGCCTCAATCTTGTCACTTGTATTTGTATAAGATTAACATGGCACTCAAATAGGCTTTTATATTTGTCTCTTCACTTTCGTTTTCTCAGATTTGGCCCATCATTTCGGTCTTAAATTTGGAGCTCTTTGGATCCCTATTGTAGTGGGATATCTGCAAATGGAACCACCTTCAGATGTTTTTCATCCTTTTATTTCAGTGATCTCTGTGTTTAGGCTATGACTCTAGGTGTTTTTCAGCTTGAAGATTCCATATGTGTATTTCACTTTTACTGTCTTTAATCCCAGCAAGGCAGTTTGTTCTATTTCTCTGATGCCAGGTTGCTGTATGTTGGATAAGGAAAAATTATTTTCCCTATTAATAACAGTACATGGTTACATAACTCTTTACTTTTTTATAAAGTACTCTCCTTAAAACAATTTAGTGAAGGAGGTGGAAGAAGATAATATGATGTTAATTTCCCTATTTTATAAATGAGGAAACTGAAGCTCAGAGAAGTGACTTGTCCAGGTTCCTATGGCTCGCAAGTGGCACAGCCAGATTTTGGGTCTTCTGGTTCCTATGTTTGATATTCTTTCAATTCAAGAAATATTTAATCCAGTACCTCCTATGTATAGGAGGTATATCTATGCACTGCTAGATACAAAGACAAAGATGAAATAATCTTTGCCCACAAGCTTCTATTCTGCTGGGGGGATGCAATAAGTACACATGGTACGGCAAAAAGATCAGTGGCAGAGGATCTGGGTTCAAATTCTGCCTGTCCCACTGTCTCTGTGACAGTCAGCTAATCTCTCTGGTTCTCAATTTCTTCATTTGTAAAGTGAGAGAGTTGGGCTAGATTACCTCTTAAGCTTCTTTCTGAATCTGAATGTATGATCCCAAGGAAATACAATCTGGTTTGAGAAAGAAGGGAATACTAATAGCTGAGGAGATCAGGAGAGACTTTCTGTATGAAGTGACCCAAGTTGAATTTGGGGGGAAGGTAATAATCTTACAAGGCAGAGGAGAAGGCAGAGAATGAATTCCAGGTATGGGGACGCCTCTGCAAAGGTATGGGGATGGATGGAAAAAAAGATTGGCTCTTCCAAATTCCTGGTGCTGCTTTTAAGTTGTGCATGAGGACTGTCTATATTGACAGATAGTTATCAGATGATCTTGTGATTGCTTGCTTTCTTGAGGGACACAGTAAGTTTGCAGGAAACTTCTGAGATTCCTCAGAGCCCAGTATGCTCATATTTGTAGAATAATGATAAGCAGCTTTGTTTTAATTACACATACAGTTTCTTTCTTTGTATTTGACATATTTTGGTTGTGTCTTTCTGTGGTAGGACCTTGTTGCTCGTTTAGATGACCTGGGTGGAGTGTATCTACAGTTTGAAGAAGGCTTAGAACCCACGGCATTATTTGTTGCTGCCACCTACCAGCTCTCAGACCACGTGGGAACAGAGCCACCTTTTAAGGAGGTATTAATTAGACAGTTAACAAAATATAAGACAAAGAACCTTTTATCTACTGATGCCAGATGAACTTTTTTTTTTTTTTACACAGATGAAGGCTAACTGTTAGAAAAACATGATCACTTCAAGTACACATTGGTAACTTAATGCACATGTTAATAGGAGCCCTGGTCAGAATTGTGAAGTAGATGAAATTCATACTTGTTGATCCTTTCCCTTATCCCCTGTCTCTACTTATTTCCTTTGTATTGTTCTGTGACCCTCCTTTTGCTCTTCTGCCTATGGCTCTCCTCCAGGGAATGTTCTCATGCTTCAGAATTACTCTTCTTTCTTACTAGTTAAAATACCCTTTCCCCTGATTTGGATAACCTCAGCTAGCTGTTAGGAAACAATGTGGTTAAAATAATCCCTAATAATCATTGAATCCTTGTTAGATGGAGCTTCAGATGTCATTTAGTCTATTCATTACAAAGAGCATGAATCTCTAATGCAGTGGTCATCCAGCCCCTACTTGGATACATCCAGTGATGAGGAAAACTATATCCCAAGGTTCTTTTCCTACAGCTATAATTTTTACACATTTCTTCCTTATACTGACCTAAAATTTTCATTAGTCCTGGTTGTGACTTCTGGAGCCACTCAGAAGAAGCCTAATTGTTCTTCCATATGACTTCTTTTAAGTACTTGGAGACAAAAACCAAACAAATATGATTTGTATATATGTTTCATGTTGTTTATCCGTTTCACTGTTCTTGGTCTTGCCTCCTCCCCATTCTCACCCCTTGGATTCTGTCTACAGGTATTTTCTCCTTGCTATATAAACCCAGTTCCTTCTATGGATTCTTGTGTGACATAATAATTTTCTTTGTCCTCATGCATTCTAGCTGGCCAGTGTTCCTCTTAAGTTTGTGTAAATAACAGGTGATCTTAATCCTTGAATATGTTTCATTTTTTAAAGAAAGACCATGACAATTCACATGCCTCTGTCATTGGTAGAGTACATGTAGATAACTTTTAAGCTGGGCTGCCTTTGTGCTTTTTGCCTATTTTAGCTCATCCTTACTCAGAAGAACAGGAATCTACAGCCAGCTGCCCCTCTTTTGAAAGTTTGCCAATCTCTGCCCTGGGGTATTTGTAAGAGCAAGCTTTTGTTGTTCAATATTTAGGAGGAGGGATTTGAATTAGATATTGAAACTTCCCCGTTGCTATGCATTGTTAAACACTGTAATCTTCTCTAGAGAATTTTTAGGAAGTAGTAAACAATTAGTTGTCCAGGATGTTTGGATTATAGCCCTGCTTGAAAATCTCTCCACATTTCTTTCCAGTTTGAAGATTCTGCCTTATAGTTATTCATAGTAGTTTCATTTATATAGAGAGCTTTTCTCTTCCACCTGAAAAAATTAACAAGCCAGAGTAGCTCACCTACTTTAAAAGACCTTTTTTAGTTCTTTCTGTGAATGATAATGGAGAAAAATATGCTATAGAGTCATAGAGACGATTCGGAACATCTGTCCTCCAGGGTAGAGAAAAGACTGAATTGATGAAACATATTCAAGGATTAAGATCTTATGACTTGGTTTTTCCAGAACAGGTGTGTGACCAGAGGAATTAATCCTGTTGTTACTTTTTGCAGGGCAACTCTAGTGAGTAGTCACAGACTTTAAGGTGTCAGAGGCCAAGTGATAAAAAAATGTAATTGATAAAATTACAGATCATGGTTTAACGTTGACTGAATTTCACTGTCAGGAACAAAAATTTCTTGTTAGATGGTGAGATACGCGTGTGTTATAGTTTGGTGGAAGGAAGTATTTCTTCTTTATATATGGCAGCTCCATAATTTTTATAAATACCTTTTATTCTTAAATTAATCATTTAAAATCACTTCCTGATTTTTTTTCTTTAATCTAGTACATTATTTCCTAATGGGTAGCAGTTTAAGTTCCTTTCAGATGTAAATCTCTGGTTTTGAAAGTTCTTTTAAATAAAAATATAGCCCTAGTTTGTCTTATAATGATGGAATGGGGAGAAAGAAAGGTAGTGGAAATAGGAAGTGAAGGGATACGGATTTAGTGAACAATATATACACTCCTGTGATTGCTGTCTCATGTCCACAAGCATTAATTAAACATCTACCATACGCCTGATTCTGTACTGAGCACTGGAGATACCAAGAAAGGTATCTGATGAGGGAGATAATATACAAACAAGTACAAGTCAAGCAGTTGGAGAGGAGGACAGGAGGAAGAAAATTTCAGGCCTGCCAGTAAAAATGTATTTTATCATATACTTATGCGTGGATATATTTAATCTTAGGGAGTCGATTTACCTTTATCTATACCTTTGATAAGTAGATCGGTAATGTCACTAGTATAAACTACACAGTAGTGGATTTTTTCTTTTAAAATTTCATGTCATCCTAGTAATAATCTGCAGAAATATTTTAGCTTGCACACATGATAAAAATTGGACCAAAGCCATCATATGTTTCTGCTTATTGTGTTCCATTTATAAATTTCAGTTTATGACCAAAAGACCTTTTATGCCACTACCTAGAAAATGGAGGAGTGACTTTAGAAGGAGTTGACCTAATACCCCTTTGAAGCTGACAAAAAGAGAGGAAGCATATTTCACATATTCTTTCTTACCTACTCATTATCTTGGGATGTTCCCTTTTTCCTTCAGGATCAAGTAATCCAGCTGGTAAATGCCATTTTCAGCAAAAAGAATTTTGACTCTCTCTCTGAAGCCTTCAGTGTTGCTGCTGCCTCTGCTGCATTTTCTCAGAATCGCTATCACCTTCCTGTTGTCATTGTTGCTGAGGGGTCAGCTTCAGTATCTCACCAGCAACCTGTTCTCCGGGTAGGACTTTCACAAGTCTACTTAGAATCCGTATTGAGTCCTATTTCAGTGGCACGTTTTTAGAAGATTGCTTTACTTTATAAGGACCACATTGAATAGGCAGTCATTGGCCTCATGAAGGTGTACATGGTATTTAGGATACCACTTGATTCAGTAAGGAGGGAAACTATGCATGGATTTGCACCCTTGCTCTACAAATGCCTAATCCTTGTATTTAAGGTTAATTTTTCAAAGGATTTTAAAATAATGCTAGCTTCTGTTGTTTGAGTTAACTGCATACATATTTCATTTCTATGCCCATGATAGCTCAAGAGGCCTTCATCTGTAAGAATACACTCTTCAAGAGCGGAAGGAAACTCTAAAGGGGATATAGACTAGCAGGGCAGTTTTGTTACCATTATGTTAAATTTAATGTACACTTTTAAAAAAGTTGTATGTTGTAGAATTTCACAGTTTCATATCTTGCCCTCTTCTGTTGTTTATTGAAATGTTCATGATTGATATTTAACATCATAATTTTTAAATTTTTTCTTAAAAAGTAAACAAAGATGTACTCTCCAACACCAAATTCTTGCAAAATATATTGCTTTGAAATTTAAGATTCCTAGATTAACTCCTGTGTAATCTTAGAATTTATTAAATAGAATTTGCCAAAATAGATAATTGAGTCTTTTTCATTTGAGGTAGTGAGGGTATAGCTGTCTTTCTTCTCCTTAAGTACCCATTGCTATCACCCCAGTTTTCATTCATTAAGAGACCCTGCAGGATTCTATCACTGAATAATCCTAAAGTATAACTTTGTTATGTAGAAGTTGTGGCAGCTAGGTGGTACCATGGCTAGAGCGCTAGACCTGGAGTCAGGAAAACCCAAGTTCAAATATGGCCTCAGACACTTAACTAGCTGTGTGACCCTGGGCAAGTTACTTAACCTTTGTTTGCTTTAGTTTCCTCAACTGTAAAATGGGGATAATAACAGCACCTAGCTCAGGGTTGTTGTGGGAATCAAACAAAATAGTATTTGCAAAGTGCTTAGCTCAGTGCCTAGCACAAAGTAGGTACTACAAAAATACTTATTCTCTTTACCCTTCCCTTTCCTAGAAGTCATATGACATTAAGTATTAGCATCCCTTTGACATCCTTTTGAATATTTATTTATTTATTTATTTTGATTGAGCATTTTCAAACGTCTGTGGTCTCAAGAAGAATGCTTTTGAATATTTCAGGTCCAGCTGGGTGGGTTGACTGCAAACCAGAAATAAGCTAAAACACTCCAAAGAAGTTCCTTTTATGGTATTTTCTAATATATGTTAAACAGTCTAGGACCCATCTATGTATCTGCAGTTGTCCCAATAGCACATCTTCCAAAGGAATTCTGCTGTAGTTTTTAAGCACTCTGGTGTAGCTTCTGTTCAAGTCCTCATACTGGTGCCTCATTACAGTATGGTAGTGACCCTGGAATCTTGAAGGCTTTGCCACTGAAACCCAACCTAAGTCTTGCCACTCTGGAAAAGGTTTAGGTAACAGGTCTCGTAATGGACTGAATACCTTTCATCCGAAGACTAGCTCAGGTCGGTTCTAGAAAACTGGCTACTTGGGGATGAATTTTTTTTTTAGGTGTAGCAGTTGCCAAGTACTGTCATTGGATAGAGAAGGCTTACATTCTATGTTAGTGGAGTTTCTCTTGAAATGAAATAATGAATTCCTGAAGAATAATATGTGTAATACAATGACAGCATGGTGTGGTGGTAGCTGATCTCAGAGGTGAGAAATCCATGTGCTGGTCCTTGCTGTGCCATCCAATCCAGTGTGTGTCCTTTGACATTTATCATTAACTAGGTCTCAGTTCCCACATCTGTATAAATGAAAGGTTTGGACTATGTGATGTCTAAGGTTCCTTCCAGTTCCAAAAGCTTGTGATCCAGTCCATTATTTACTATAAATTTTATCATTCAGGTCAGCTTGATTATATTTGATTTCTGATGTCAACTTATAGTCAAGAATTTTCTTAAGTAAATTCACCTGAGCAGATCTATTCCACAATTGTTTGAAAGGGGAAAAGGGAAAAAGAATAAGTACTTAATAAGTTCCAGGCACTAAACACGGGTGTTTTACAAATATTATCTCATTCAATCTTCGAAACAGCCTTTTGATTTCCATTTTACAATTGAGGAAGCTGAGGCAGACAGATTTAGTGATCTTGCCTAGAGTCACGCAGCCAGTATGAATAAATAAAAAGTAATCAGGTGATGCAAACATATAATTTTATATTTCTTTCCAGCTGCAAGTTACTAATGTTATGTCACAGCCATTGACTCATGCTTCTGTCACACTAGAACGTGCTAAGTCTTCTTCTACTAAGAACACAGTCTTACAGCAGACTGCATTCACTCCTGCAGGGTAAGTCCCTAGACCACTTTGCTGGCCTTTTAGTATATCTTTTAATTAAAAATAAATAAATAACAATTTCTTTCATTCAGCAATCATTTATTATTGAGCATCCATCATGTGCAGAGTGTGGTGATGAGCACTCAGCATACAAAGGTGTAAGATGTAATCCCAGCTTTTAAGAATCCTTTACTGGAAATAAGATATTTGCATAACAATTGTAATACAAGGTACACTGATAGAATATAAGGGAAGTACAGAGAATTACAGACTTTACCATATGAGAAGTCCAGTGTATTAAAGGCTTAGATTCATTTATAACATTACTTCAGAGCATGTAGAGATCATTCCTGGACCGGGTGGGATAGGGGGAGGTAGAGATATGGAGCATCCAATAAAAGTTACATGGAGGAGAGAGCATTTTATATTATTTGGTATGCTTATTTACTTTTAATAGTTAGCAGGAAGTTACAGTTAGCTAAAGGCAGAGGCAGTCACTGATATGGCATACTAAGAAAAAAGGCTATAAAACATTCTCTATGGACCCAGGGTGTTATTCTCCCATAAATACACAAAGTGTCTGGAGTAAGAGTGGTTCTCCACATAAAGTACATTGATAGTAAGGCACATACACAGTAAAAACATGCAGCCAAGGCAGCTCATGAGGGTCTTGACATCTTTTCCCTTCTCCTGGTAGCATCACACTGTCCCCTTTTCCCGGGGTCTGTTTTGTCTCTACTGGTCAGGTAAGTCAACTCAGTTCCCACGGCCTGCTCTTTCCACTCCTGGCTAGCAAAATTAACTTGAGGAAAAGGCATTTTATCAGGGTTTTGAAGAGAGCAAAGGATTTCAACAGCTGGTGTTTTCTTCTGTTACCTGTGTACATTTTACATCTGTCCAACAAATCCTCTGTTCTTGTCTTAGATTCTGAGTTCCTAGGGTTGTGGGACTTGATCATATGGTATGTACCATAACAAAAACACTTAAGTCTGATTATGATAAATATCTGAGTATAGCATTCCATGGAGAGGGAATGGTATAAGCAACAACTTAGAGGTGGGGAATTGTAGTAGTCTCCTGGTTAATGAAAATAGCCATTTATTAGTATCATGATCATAAAACCAAATCTAAGCTTATCTTTGGCTATAGAAATTCTTTGAATAAGCCTTCATTCTTATTTTACTTTCATATTTGGTTTATGGGTACAAAAAATCCTGGGCTTTATATTTTTTTAAAATTGTCTTATAAAATTAAAAACATAGATCGCAGTATCATAGATTTAAAGCTGGGAGGGATCTTCAAGGATATCTAGTCCATGTGTCTCATTTTGCATATGAGGTAAACGAGGCCTGGAGAGGTTAAAAGACTTGCCCAAGATCACACAGGAAGTAAGTGTCAAGAGCTGGGATTTGAATCCAGGTCCTTTAACTCCAAATCCAGATCTTTCTCTACTGCCTCCCTTGCTGGTTCCATCTCTTATTATCTACCTTTTTGGGTAACTGAATGTTTGCAGTCGATCACTTTGTTGTTTTAATAGCTTAACCAGCTTTATCATTATCAGACTTAAGTGTCTTTGTACTATGCTATGTACCTTAAAATCAAGCCCCGTATTTCTAGAAGCTAAGAATCTAAGATGGAAAGGACAGATTCATTGGACAGACATAAAATATGCATAGGTAACAGAAGAAACATTTTTTTTTAAATAACAATTTGAAAAACAAAATAATTAACATAAATAGGAAAAGTATGTAATGTGTACCCAATTGTAAAAGAGGTCCACAGGAGTTACATGTTTTGCTGGTTAGATTCAGGAATTTATCTTCTTTTTTAATTAGTCATGGAAGAAGTGAATTTTTAAGAGCTGTTATGAAAAAAGAAATAGAGTTTCACATGATAGGGGGCATAGGATATCGCAGATAAAGTATAACCTGGAAGACTTGGGCAAAGCAGATTTGTTTGGGAAAAAATAGAGGAGGTGGGATAGAAAGCAATTAAAAGAAGTGAGATCAACTTGGGCAACCTTGAAATCAGAGGGAGACCCTTACTCTAGTTGTTATTGAAGTCAACAGTTAATAGTACCAGACTGTTGTATTAAAGAGGTAATATAATGTGGTAGAAAGAGCTTGGGACTCAAAATCAGAAGATTTGGGTGAATCGCTGGCTCTGCTATTTCCTGTGAGATCAGAAACGAGTCATTTAACCTCTCTCTAAACCTATATTTCATCCTCTGTACAAATGAGGTAAAAATCTGTTCTGCTTATGTTACGGGCTTTTTGAGCGAATCAAGAAATAATGAGTATAAAGCACATTATGAAATATAACTAAGAAAGTTTTATAAAGCATTATTATCGTTGTTGTTATTAATGACCTTCTTGAATAAGGCTTTAACAACTATGCTCCAATTCACATAGAGATGGTTTTGATCTGAACTTCATGAATGTCAAGCCTGCCAGTGGTTACTATGACTTCTCTATCCACGTTGAAGGTGATAGCCGCTACATTGCAAATGTTGTAGAGGTGGGTGCTTTTCTTGTCATTTCTGTTGCTGTGGCAGTGTTGAAAGCAGTGTGTAAACAGGAATAAATCATTTTTCATCTAGAGGATTTTGGCTTCATCCTCTGACCAAGCCAAAGCAAGCCTATTGAAGAAAGTTAAATATTTGAACTGTCATTTGACAGTCTGCCAGTGTTGTATTATATAAAAGAATTGAGTGTATGTGCTTTACAAGTATTGTGGGTGAAGTGGCCTTTTTACATCAGGTTAAATGCTTGTTGATAGCTAAGCATGCATTGAGTGATATGTGATAGACGTTGAGAATTTGCATATAATGTACAGCCTACAGTCTTTTATAATGAGAATATGTTTTAGACTTTCACATATTTAGAGCTGTAAAAGCAAAAATTGGCTCATTTATCTAGTGATAACAGGGAATGAGCTCTCCCCAATATGTGAATTTTGTGTGTGGGGGGGTTGTTTTGTTTTGGATTTTTTTGGCTAACAAATACTTTTAATTTAACATTCCAAAAATGCCAGGACATAAAAATTGAACTTTGTTTTCAAGATTTTTTTTTTTAATTTTAATTTATTTTACCCACTCATTGAGAAGACAAGAAATGATACCCATTATACTTGTGAAGTCATGCAAAACATTTCTACATTTGACATGTTGTGAAGGAAAAAAGCAAGAAAAATTAAGAAAGTGAAAAAAAATATGCTTCAGTCTGCACTCAGAGTTCATCAGTTTTCTCTCTGGAGATGGATAGCATTTTTCATCATGAGTCCTTTGGGATTGTTGTGATCCCAGTTGTTGGGATCGGTTGGGATCATCACATTGATCAGAGTGGCTAAGTCTTTCACAGTTGGTTATTGTTACAATATTGCTGTTATTGTATACAGTGTTCTCCTAGTTCTGTTCACTTCACTTTGCATCAGCTCATATAATTCTTCCCAGGTGCTTCTGAAACCATTCCCCTTGTCTTTTCTTATAGCATAATAGTATTCTGTCGCAGGCACATACCATAGCTTGTTCAGCCATTCCTCAATTGATGGGCTTTCCCTCAGTTTTCAATTCTTTGCTACCACAAAAAGAGCTGCTATAAATATTTTTGTACATATAGGTCCTTTTTCTTTGATTTCTTTGCAGTGATACTGGGTCAAAGGGTATACACAGAGGTACTATGCCTTTGGGCATAGTTCTGTATTGTGCTCCAGAATAGTTGAATTAGTTCACAGTCCTACCAAACAGTGTATCAGTGTATCTATTTTTCCACATTCCCACATCATTTTACTTTTCTGTCATCTTAGCCAATCTTGTAGGTGTGAGGTAGTAGCTCAGAGTTGTTTTAATTTGCATTTCTCTAATTATTAGTGATTTAGAACATTTTTTCATATGATTATTGATATTTTGACTTCTTTCTCTGAGAACTGCTTGTTCATATCCTTTGACCATGTATCAATTGAGAAATGGCTTTTATTTTTATAAATTTGGCTGTTCCTTACTTATTTGAAAAACGAGACCTTGATTAGAAAAACTTACTGTAAAAACTTCTCCTGTTTCCTGCTTTCCTTCTCATTTTGGCTGCGTTATTTTTGTTCAGTGCAGAAACTTTTTAGTTTTATGTAAACAAAGTTACTCATTTTACCTCCTGTGAACTTTAGTATCTCTTGTTTAGCCATAAACTCTTCCCTTATCCATAGATGGGCAACAGGTAATTTTTTTCCATGCTCCCCTAATTTGCTTTTTTTATCACCCTTTATGGCTATATCATTACCCGTTTTGAACTTATCTTGGTATACTGCGTGAGATCATATGTGAATTTTGATGGTAACTGAAATTTATGCCTTTCAAATAAACATCAATACTTTAACTTTTTTGTAAAACTTCTGTATGCACACTTTCTTATTAGAGCGTAGACTCAATGCTATCATTATGGTAAGTTGTAAGAGCTTAATAAATGCTTTATCTAGTTGTGTGCCAGGCACTATGCTAAATGTTGGGAATATTAATACAGTTATCAAATATTTTTAAAAACCAATATCTCTGATTAAAGCTCGTGATAGAATGGGTAATAGGGAAACATGAAGGAATACATACACACACACACACATTTAACTACTCTATGTGTGTGTGTGTGTGTGTGTGTGTGTGTGTGTGTGTGTGTATGCTTTTTGCTTGAGGACCAGCCTTGCTAAGAATGGACAGGGTCAGACCTTACCAGAAAGTTAGCATCCAAATACTGAGGGTTTTTTGGACGCAGCAATATACAAAAATCTTCTATTAAGGTATACAAAGGTCATAATTTGCAATGAAATCTTGAATCTTTGAATTAGTGAATTAAGCAATGGTTTTAAAGGTTGTTTTTCCTCAAAGTAAGGTTGAAAACCAAATGATTTCTTAGAGTCCTTTCTAGCTGATGGAAATGAGAATGGGGAAAGTAGTCAGGATAGCTGTTGATAAATCTCATTTGTGTTTTAAGAAGAATGAGTTTTCCTGATAATCCCTAGGTGCTGTTCCTAGTTTTATGCATGATTTAGGCATGTCATGTTTTCACTGTCCCAGTTTTTCCTCTTTAGTGAGAAACTACCACTTAGAAAGTGGTTTCAAGGACATTCACCTAGTTCTCTGGGCTCTCAAAATTCCACTATAATTGCTAATGGTGAGCATTTATCTCTCCAGAGAATAGTTTATTCATCATTGAATCAAGCCTAGTATTTGTAAAGTGCTTTTGTAGTAGTTAAAAAAAAAAACCTGAGAAATAAATGCACAATAACAATAATTACCAGTAGCTATTATTAATGTAAATACTAATGACTTCCATTTAAGTCATTGCCATCACTTTTTAACCTGATGATGGAGTTGCTATTAGCATCCTGCCTGCTGTATTCATCAAAGTGGGACTAATTCTTATTTATAAGGGCTGACCTCTGCTGCACGTGTCAAATTTGCTTTCTAATTGCAATAATAATCTCACTTAGAGCATCAAAGCCAGCAGCCTGGTCCTGTTTAATCTCTCCCGAGGTGTTCTGAGTTGGCTGGAGTGCATTAAACACTGGCAGCTTTGCATGAAGGCCCATAATAGTACTCATTGTTATTGGGCAGGTTGTCAGGGGAGCCATGGGTTTTGGAAGCTGTCATTAGCATTAATTGCCTCTAATGCACCATCATTTTTGACAGTGATGAACTAAACAGGATGGTTATTACTCCCAGCAGAAAGGTCACATTTCCTGGCATTAAGATATTTTTGTGATGTTTATGCCATATACTATAGTCACAAAAAGGGCCAGTGTGGACCAGCCCCCAAATCACCTATTGAATGAAAAACAAGCTCCCTTTTTTTCTCGTTAAAGCTGTGAAAAGGACATTTTATAGTTTAAAAGAAGCAGCTAACCATCAGGAAACCTTTTAAATCTTCTTAGAAATGAGTCTGCTCAAGGGATGATATTGATGGTTTTTGTTTTTTTGGTGTTTTAAGAGTAGAATTATTGTGACTTTCCTTTAAAATGCATTTTCAATTAACCATTTGTATGTAAGTTTTGGAAACAAAGAGCTAGGAGTCTTCATTTGGTGCTAAAACCCTAATATTATGAATGAGCATTTCTATGTTGGTGATGGGGGAAGCTATAACTAAAAATTTCTTTAAATAAGTGCTGCTAGTGTTTAAAGGTTAACTTAAGTTTGATGTGACTTAACAGTCTGCCCTTTGGTACATTTTTGGGTGTGATTAGGTTATTTAGAATTATTTATTCTGATACCACAAAATGAATGTCTTTGTATTATACTACATTATAATTTATCCATGTTCATAAAAGGCAAAGAGGAGAGATGAAAAGACCTGTCTTTCCACCCCTTCCAAAAGAAGTGGGAGTTCATACATGTGGAACATTGAATATAATGCTAGATTTCTTCAATGTGATGGTTTGTTTTACTGAAAAAAATTTCTCTTAAAAAAACGTCTTTTGTTATAAGGGATGACTGTGGGGGGGTGTTATGGAAATTCTAGGTGATTTGAAATTGAGATAACAATAATAATCTTTTTTAAAAGAATATATGATCAGATTAGATGGAAATCTAGAGAAATGACTTCATCTTCCCCATACCACTTATGCTACCTGTTTGTAGAGCAAGTCATTAAATCTGTGTTTCTTTAATAAAACGGGCTGTAATTTTTAAGAGTATTTTTACAATTCCCGATACTCTGCCATAGAAACAAATATTTTTCTCATCACTGCTACAAGATTTTTACTAAAATGTTTCCCCTAACTCCAGTGCCCTATTCTACTGAGGATTTTCTCCCTTGTGTTCTGATTGAGGTTAAGACATGGGCATTAAAAAGATTCCCTGTTTCTGTCTTTGAGATTTGAGGAATTCTTTGATCAGGAAAGAGTTGCCTCGGTAGAATAGGAGGCCTGGGGAAAGCTGTTTCTATTAGTCATGTCAGATACGATAACTAACCAATGGGACTCCATTTTGTGGCTTTATTTTCAATTAGAAGTGTGGGAATTAAGAAATTAATGTTCTTTTTGATACGACTAACAGTAGACTTTGTTTATTTCTTTCTTATATTTCACTATAGCTCAAAGTCAAGGTCTCCACTGAAGTTGGCATAACAAATGTGGATCTTTCTACTGTGGATAAAGATCAGAGCATTGCACCCAAAACTACAAGGTAAATACAACAGGGATATATACAAGGCCCTTAGAGCTGCCTCCTCATCTTCAGCCAGCTGAACTTGGATGGTAGTGTCCAGAGAGGGGTCCCTGCGAACATCCTACCTCTCATGATTTCACTGCTGTATTAATAGTCTTGTACAATGTAGCTGGCTGCAGTTCCAGTCTGCATCCCAGAACATGCTGTGGCTGTGTGTGGTAGGTCTTGGCTTGCTGGCAGGCTGAGGCTTATTCTAGTCTTGATGCCCCAATATTCCTCACGGGCATTGAGAAAATCCACAGGACGTCCTGAAACTGTTTTCTTTTGAGAATTTTCAAGCTCTGGGTTGAGCATAAGCCGAGATTTTGTTTTCTAGAAGTAGCTCCAGAGACCCAATAGCTATTCTGGTTGCCCTCAAAGCCATTTTGGAGTGTCAGGCTTTGTAATCCAGAAGCCCAACAAAGGTTTTAAGTATAGTGAAATAGGGAACTTTCAAGCATTCTTGGTGAAAAGATCAGAACTAAATAGAAAATTTGACTATCAAATATAAGACTCAAGTGAAGAATGAAAAGGTAAACAGGAAAGAGAAATCATAAGACTTATTAAGGTTGAACTGTTTATATTCCTGCATAGAAAGATGATATTTGTAACTCGTGAGACCTTTGTCAGTATTAGGGTAATTGGAAGGAAAAATTATTTGTATGTATATAGATAGATAGATAGAGGGCGCAGGGTGAGTTGAAGATGAAGGGATGATAATCTGGAGAATAAAATTAAGGGGTGATTGAGGATTATATTGGGAGGAGAAAAGGAGAGGTAGAATGGGGTAAATTACCTCACATAAAACAGACAAGAAAAGGCTTTTACAGTGCAGGGGAAACGGGAAGGTGAGAGGGAATGAGTGAATCTTATTCTCATTGGATTTGGCTTAAGTAGGGAATAACATATACACTCAATTGGGTATGGAAATCTGTCTTACAGGAAAATAGGGAAGGGGACAAGAGAGCAGAAGGATGATAGAGGGGAGGGCAGATTGGGGAAGGGGGTAATCAGAAACAAACACTTCTGAGGAGGGACAGGGTCAAAAGAGAATAGAATAAATGGAGGGCAAGATAGGATGAAGGGAAATAAACTTAGTTTTTCACAACATGACTACTGTGGAAGGTTTTGCATGACAAAAAAAAAGATTTTCTGATTTCTTCAAAATCTTAATTTCTTTTAGTTCAGTAATATTCCAGTAGAGATATGCACCACAATTGGTTAAGCCATTCCTCAATAAATAGGGACATTCTCTTTCCAAAAAGAAAAAAAAAGTTGTAAGTAGTGAAGTTTATCTGTGTGCTTGTCGATTAGCAATTTTTCTGTGACGCTAAAGATATAATTACCTTGAGGATGCAATGAATGTTTGTCATAGCACTTTGAAAAGTAGAATGTGCTATATTAGGGTAAGAGGTTCATATTTTTATAGGGAAACATGATTTAGTCTCCAGTGGCATTTGCCTCATCTGACCCGATTATATTAGCCTGAAATCCACGAACATAACTGTGAGAAGAACAAATTTTCCTGTTTGGCTTCAACTTCTGAGCAAATTATTTAAGTTCAATATTAAGTAGTAAAACAAACTGAGGGTTTTTGCCCTGAAAAAAATAAGAAAAGGAGAAAAATCCACGAAGTACCACATAGCTCTGTAGTTTAAGTCCTTGGGTCATATTTCTAGGAACTTGTAGAAACAACAGTATGACTACTTCTACGTCTATGGCAGAATGCCTCTAAAGCTTGTCTTGAGAGGCAGATGGACAGAAATAAAGTTTTTTCAGTTAGGGCCTGAATTAGTTTGGAATCTAAATATACAGCAGTTCCACTGGCCATAGTCAGGAGACTCTTTAGTGAGACATTTTGTCATCACTCTAGGAAACAGGTAAGGACAGTTTGCCCAAGGACAGCCATGAGCCTCTTTTTTACCAGCCTGTTCTCCTCATCCCTCCTGCTTCACGTAGTACATGCTAAGACATTCTGATGTGATTAATCAATCAGTAAACATTTATCCAGTACCACCTATGTGCCAGACACTGTGCTAAGTTCTGGATTAATTAGGTTGATGATATTTTTTTTTCTTTTAAATTTTTATTTCAGGGCAGCTAGGTAGTGCAGTGAATAAGCTTCTGCCTTGGAGTCAGGAGGACCTGAGTTCAAATTTGACCTCAGACACATGACACTTAACTAGCTGTGTGACCCTGGACAAGTCACTTAACCCTGATTGCCTCACCAAAAAAAATTTTTTTAATTTCTTTTTAACATTCATATTTTATATTTTGAGTTATAAATTCTCTCCCTCCATTGCCTGTCCCACCTATAGAGAAGGCAATCAAGATGATATCAATTACGCATGTAAAGTCTATTGAAACATTTCCATGTTGTATTGGGGGAGGTGGAAGAGTGGGGGGCTGCCTCTTCCAACAAAAAAAAGAAAGAAAAATTAAAAAAGTTAAAAAAAAAAAAGCTTCAGTTTACACTCTGAATTCATCAGTTCTCTCTCTGGAGGTGGATGATAGCATTTTAAGTGATGACATTTTCTGAAACAAAAATGTCTCGACTCCCAGGCTCTGCACTCATTTCTGTCACTTTCTGCTATGGGCCCCAGGTTCCTCCTCTGAGTTGAGCTAGATCAAGGTGAAGGTGTCAGACCCCTGTCAGATAAATGTTTGTATAAAGGCTCAAACTAAAATACATAGGATTACAAAAGAAATATATTGAAACAGTTTTCAAAATATTTTTTAAAAACAAATGCAGGGGCAGCTAGGTGGCACAGTGGATAGAGCACTGGCCCTGAAGTCAGGAGGACCTGAGTTCAAATCTGGCCTCAGACCAAACACTTGACACTTACTAGCTATGTGACCCTGGGCAAGTCACTTAACCCCAATTGCCTAAAAAAAACAAAAACAAATGCATAAATTCCAGGTTAGGGACCCCTGAACTAGATAACCTTATAAGGTCCCCGTTCACAGATTTTTTTTTTACCAGATGAATTAGTATTAGTATCAGTATTAGTACCCACTTTGGATACTTGGTACAGATTGTCTGAAAACTTAACTTGTTGTCTTTTTCTCTTTTAGGGTGGCCTACCCAGCTAAAGGAAAGGGCTCATTCACCGTTGACAGCCACCAGAACTTTGCCTTGTCCTTCCAGCTGGTTGATGTAAACACTGGTGCTGAGCTTACCCCTCACCAGGTCAGAAAAAAGCCACATTGAGCTTCCAATGTCACTTTTCAGCATAAATTCTTTTTTTGGGGGGGGGGGCAAGGCAATTGAGATTAAGTGACTTGCCCAGGGTCACACAGCTAGCGAGTGTTATGTGCCTGAGGCCAGATTTGAACTCAGGTCCTCCTGACTCCAGAGCCAGTGCTCTATCCACTATGCTACCTAGCTGCCCCCCAAATTTTTGAATTTATATTCTAAACTGGTATTGCCCTTAGCTACCATCTCTCTCCACTTGTTAGGTAAGTCAGGTGTTTGCTGACCTGGGTGGTTTTGGGGCTCCCTTGATTACCTTTTTATGGCAATTGATTGACATTGGCTGAACTTCCCTATAAAATTATTATAATTGTTGTCAGGGTCATTTCTCATGATCAGGTTTTCATAATCACTATTACCTATTTGAATATCTAAGAATTGAATTGTTTCTATTTTATGCCATATTTATGCCATTTTATTCTATTTTATGTCTTTTTCTCCTTGTTCATCTTTTTACTTATTCTGGTCTTTGCTCTGAATAGTATTGGTCTATACAGAGGTGATTCAAGGATAATTAAATAAGAAGTCTTTTCCTGTGTGTTAAAATATATTTCAGTTTTGTTTTTTGTGGTGTCATTTGGTATTCCCCAGGTCCAATGTCTACTAATTTATCGAAGAAAGGGTTCGTTATATAAAGGCATAAGTCAAGTAGTCTACATGTCTTTGTCCTTTCTCATTTTTTTGTCCTGGACAAAGTTTTCCCATATATTTCTCACTGTTCTCCCTCTTTTCATCAAAGTCATCAAGTATCAGAGTGTAAGTTGATTTAGTTTGGAGGATTTTATCAAGATCCTAGAATTTCTCTACCTTTTATATTCTGTAACTGAGAGTAGGGCCTAAATTGCAATTATTTTTAAGATGGTCTTTTTGCAAATACTTATAAGTATAAACGATATGAAATGACTCAATCACATGAAGTAAGGTTTCATGCTGTCTTTTGGCATACACAATTTTTTTTTAATTTTATTTTTTTATTTACTTGCCTCTCCTTGTGAGCTATCTTCCATTTAGCTGCAGCTTCTTTTGTTTTGGTTTTGTTTATGGTGGTCATATCTAGATTGAAGAGATTCAACTCCAATGGTAGTTTGTCCTACTCCATGGTCACTAGATAAGGGTCTCGCATATAGAGTGCCAGCATTCACCTGGATAAAAATGAAAGGGCAACAACAGAAGAAAATGGAAAGAGCTTTAAAAATTATCATAGTAAACCATTTTCATCCTTAATAATAGTGGAACTAGGGGCAGCTAGGTGGCGCAGTGGAAAGAGCACTGGCCCTGGAGTCAGGAAGACCTGAGTTTGAATCTGATCTCAGACCAGACACTTGATACTTACTAGCTGTGTGACCCTGGGCAAGTCACTTAACCCCAATTGCCTCATATAAGAAAATAAAAATTAAAAAAATAGTGGAACTACCAGACTTGAACTCTTAACATGAGTCCCAGATGTACTTTCCAGGGGAGGCAGAAATGTTATTAAAGAGAACAGAGACAGGAAAGCAGCCATACTGAATCCTGGGTACATCGATGAGATTTGTGCTGGTGGTGGGCGACACAGATATGGTTGTGAGAGTGTTCAGGGGATCTGTACTCAAGATATCTGAAGGAGGTGCAGATGCCAAAGGCGTAGAAAAAATATAAACCTTGTTAATGTCAAAAAAAAAAAAAAAAAAAGGCAGCTAAGAGAACATCAACAAGTACAAATCTTTTGCCTAATTTTCCACCTATAAAAAATTTCTGTGCGTCATCCCTGCATGAATCAAGATTATCCTTGATGGGGGTATTAGTAGGGAACAAAGCAGGCTTTAGCAATCAATATTCAACAATAGACCACATCTTTACCATTTTGCAATTAACTGAGAAATGTAGAGAAGATGAGTCTTGATAAACATTTACCTCAAGGAGGTAAAAGAGCTAAAGGTTCCAAATACACCAAAATATTTATAGTACTTTTGCAGCAGCAAAGAACTTTAGCAAAGTGGTTGGCCATTAATTGTGAAATGACTAAACAGTTTTGGTGCAGAAAATGAAATGGAATATTACAGGATCATAAGAAATGGCAAGAATTCAGAGTAGCATGGGAGTACTTACATGAATTGATGCAGTAAAATAAACAGAACTGGGAAAATTATATATGTGATAACTGTATTAATGTAAACACAAAGAAGCCAAAAAATGAAATAAAATGCTATGTAATTATAACAACTAAGCTTAGTACTGGGAAGAGTTAAGGAAATGTACTTACCTCCGTTCCCAATGTGAGGGACTATGAATGCATACTATTACATATACTGTCAGGCAGTATAGTTGATGTATTGGTTGGATTTTTAAATTTTTTATGTTTTTCTCTTTCCTTTAAAGTATTTGTAACAAAGGATGGCTTGCTGAGTAGGGAAGGAAAGGCACATGTCTGCAGAAGAATGTGATATGAAAAGTAACATAAGATTAAATTTTTTTTTGAGAGATTCAATTTAAAATGCCTTTAGTCCTAAACAATCATATTTGATATTTTGTGTGAATTGACATTGGTCATGGTGACCTTATGTAGTTCTCCATATTAGGAAATAGGATTAGCCTGGATGAATGGTATTTATGTTTTAAAATAAGTTATATTGACGCTTTTTATTTTTACATCATTATCATTTCCTGATATATCACCTCCTCATGGAGGTCTTCCTTATAACAAAAAAAAAATTTAGTAGAACAGTATGACACTGTGATTGTGTCTAACAGTGAAACTACCACTAAATTTAAATCTAACAAGTCTAGAAAATTGGAAATGAACTGATGAGTCTTGCCTCATTTCCCTTTCTTTTCTTACCCTTCAGTGGAGAAGTTTATTATACAGTGAAGTAACTAGAAGAAGAAAGAAAAAGTTGTAGTAATCAAGAGCTTGAATAATTCTATCTCAAATCTCTGTGAAACTGGTACCAGGATAGTCTGTCTACTTGCTTCACTCTGTTAGGCTTCTCTGTGACAGATCACAGGGCTGTCCTTGTGATGATGGAGCCAACAATTCAGTCTTGTTGACTAGATATCAGACTCAAGGGCATTTTGGAAAATCTCAGTGAAAGGTGGCTTTGTTGTTCCCCCCAGACATTCGTCCGTCTGCACAACCAGAAAACCGGTCAAGAAGTGGTGTTTGTTGCTGAACCAGATAACAAGAATGTGTACAAGTTTGAACTGGACACATCTGAAAGAAAGAGTGAGTTTGACTCTGCCTCTGGCACTTACACCCTCTACTTGATCATTGGAGATGCCACCCTGGAGAATCCAATCCTCTGGAATGTGGTATGTACCTCAGTATCCCCAGATCCAATACTGATGACCCAACAAGGAAATTACAATAAGACCGTTTCTGTACAGTCTGATCTTGACACTCTAGGCAGGATCAGGTTGTCCTTTCCTGGATTATAGGTAAAAGCAGGACCTAAGGGGAAATTTTTATCCTACTGGGTGCCAGAGATAAGGATGACTTTTAGGTAAATAGTCTAATTAATTCAATTGCTCAATTATTGAATGCCAGTTATGTGTAAAGCACTGTGCTAGGCACTTTGGGGAATACAAAGGTGTATAAGAGAAACTTTGTCCTTAAGGAACTTGCTTTAAGGGGTTGGGGTTAGGGGAGGAGGAATAACATGAATAACCAACTGTGTGATATAAGATAATACACATGTTAAGTGCTGCATGAGTGATGCAAAGTACTCAAGGCATTCAGAGGAGGGAGAGATCATTTTTTTTATACTGGGAATTATCAAGCAGAGTTTTGTGTAATAGGAAAATATTGATGAAGGGCTTACTATGTGCTAAGTGCTGGAGGTATAAATACAGAATTGAGGCTGTCCTTGCATTGGGAACCTCCCATTTTAATGAGAAGTGATGGCATCTGTAGGAGGGGTCAGCTGGCAGGCTGTTGGAAATGTCAGGTGGTCTTTAGTTCCTCAGCGGGGGAGATGGCTGGGCCCCTCTAGGGGCTGCTCTTGCTGAGCCCTCCAGATGCCTTTTGATGTGTGAGCAGCTGGAGGCTGAAGTAGGAACAGGGAAATGGCTGTTGAGCTGGGTTTTTGAAGCACAGATAGGCTTTGGAAGGAAGGAAGGAGGTGAAGGAGGGAAGAAGATGAGCAAAGGCGGAAAAGTACAAGGCCCATTTGAGAACAAGACGGTCAGTTTGGCCAGATCACCTAAGTTCAGGTTGGGGAGTAGAGGGAGGAAATACAGCTAGAAAGGTAGATTAGGGCCAGATACTGGGAGGCCTTGGATGGTAATTTGTCCTTTATGACTGATAGCATTTTAAGTGATGACAGTTCTGAAACAAAAATATCTCGACTCCTAGGCTCTGCACTCATTTCTGCCACTTCCTGCTGCCTCTGTGGGCCCCGGTGAGGCCATTGTATTTTCATGCTCCGTCTAGGCCTTTTATCTATATCTTTTCTACAGTGGGTGCTCCTTGAGGCAGAAATTCCAAAGCACTCAGTTTAAAAAAAAATTTTTTTTTCGATTAACAAGCATTTATTTGCTGGCCCTCCTACATTCTCCCCAGGTGAGGGAGGGAAAAAAAAAGAAAACCCTTGTAACTAAAATGCATAGTCAAGCAAAACTAATTCCCACATTGACCATGTCCAAAAATATGTTTTAGTTTGAATCCATCATCTCTCAGTCAAGAGATGGGTAGCGTGCAAAGCACTGTTTTGAAAATGATTTTGTTCTTTAAAAGATATCTTTGATTTGTGGGCTAATCCCCTCATTACTTTTGTGTTTTTGGCTCCAGCACAGAAGAGAATTGATTAGTTAATTCTCTGAAAAATTTGACCTCTCTTTTCCATCCCTATGTCTATTGCAATTCCATACATTTTTTTTTGTAGGCTGATGTGGTAATTAAATTCCCTGAAGAAGATGCTCCCTCCACTATCCTGTCCAAGAACCTTTTCACTCCTAAACAGGAAATTCAGGTATGTGTTAAAAGGGAGAAGACTTGGACTTGTTAAGCAATCACTGGGGAAAGGAGCCAGTTCTAGCCAGTGGGATTGAGGGGCAAAAAGGCAGTGAACCACCAAACTTGCTCTAACCTTGCTGTTGATGCAGTGATGATGCTGCCATAGGGATCTCAGCCCTATCCCTGAGAATACCACGTGGTACCCAAATGTTATTGATCTGCTTAGGATGCTCTCCTTTTACATCCTTATAGTGAAGGTTGGGATGGCTTACAAATGGAGACGGGCATGTGTTAGTGGCATAAATGCAGGGTTGGAAGTCAGGAACCCTCAATTCTAGCCTTGACACTTACTGTCTAGCTATATGACTTTAAGCAAGTCAGGTAACAACTTTAGACCTCATTTTCTCTTCTGTCAGACAGGAGTGAATAATACCATCCTTGTTTACTTTAAATTATCAAATGAGACATTAGATATCAACGTACTTTGAAAAGTTAAAAGCACTTTACAAGTATCAAGTCTCACATTAATGATGAGGCTTAGGGAAGAGAGTAAGTCCATGAGCAGTGGTAACAGCACAAGCACATGATCCTTAGCAGAATGTAGCAGAAGAGAGGCTTGGGGAGGAAATATAGCAGTAGGAGCCTTGGCTGGGTTGCTTTGGGAGGCAGTTAGATTGTCTGGCAAGATAGAAATATAGCAACAAAAAAATTAAGAGGAAGAAAGATGTTTGAACCTGTAAGAAAGATAAGCTGAAAGAGAAATAAAGAACCTGTAATTCCTATAGACGCATAGCAAGGAAATCACCGTGACTAGATACTTTAGTCGTATTAATAATACCATTTAGAACCAGTTTAGTTCAGCGAAAGGCAAAGGGAATAGAGACATTCAGTAGAAATTTGGCCACAGCAGGGTCCAGTACATCTTGGAGATCAAAGAGCTCTCAGGTCACGTATTTGGCCACCTGCTTTGCATAATTTGTGGATGTCCTCTTGATTGATTGCTTCCTCTGGCAGAATCACTCGAGAAAGGATTTACTGAATTGTGCTCTGGGGACCATTTAGTTCCTTAAGGAGGAAGTTTATGGTTAGAAAGAAGTTAGAGGAAGTTTTTATGGTTAGAAATTAAGCCTGAGTAAAGTTAGGGTCTAGTTGTTTTGTCGTTATGGTAACTTGACACCTGAGGCACTTGACTGTGATAACCATCTTTAGCGCCATCTGTAGGGACATTGGAGGGACCTATAGGTCATCCAGTCCAGCCCCCTTAACTGAGCCCTAGAAAAAAGGAAATGTGTCAATATGACACATAATAAAAGGAGTCAAAGTTTATTATGTATGATAGCCACCTCTGTAGGAAAGGACATGTACTAAAGTGTTTTTGCTGTATCTTCTGTTTTCAGCACTTATTTAGGGAGCCAGAGAAGAGACCACCTACTGTAGTGTCCAATACATTCACTGCCTTGATCCTTTCTCCCTTACTTTTGCTCTTCATTTTGGTGAGTAGACACGAGTAATGTAACAATTTGTGTTTAGAGGATGAGTCAAAAGCAGCAATTCTGCCGAAGTGTACTTGATGTTCTTTTATGGCGCATAGTTTAAAGGCAGCAGTGATGACTTAGAAACTGTGAACAATCCAGATTCAGTAAGAAATGATATCCTATAATGTAACGTCTATAGTAGACATTTACTATGTAGGATGCCAGGCATATAAAGGTGAAATATGATGTAATCCCTGCCCTCAAGGAGCTTATAATTTAGTAGGGTAGATATGACATACACAAATAATTGTGACCCAGATTAGGATGTGACAAATGCAAAGAAGGAGGTAGAGTGCTGTAAGGGGGAAATCACTTTTCAGTGAGGGTGATTAGGGAAAAAAATATCTATCTTATGTACAACAAACATGTTTCATGGGAGATATGGTACCTGACCTGGGCCTTGGAGAATGAAAAGGATGTCTTTATGTAGTAACGTAGAGTTTCTGCACATAGACCCTACTATGGTATGTGTGGAGGTGGTTGGTAAGAAATAAAGTTGGGATGATAGATTAGAGTGAGAATTATGAGGGCTTTAAATGTCAGAGTAAGGGATTAAGATTTTATTAAATATAGTAGGCACTGGAAGAGTTAGAGGTTTCTTAGTAAAAGAAGGACATGATTGACATATGGCTTACTCTGGTCACAGTGTGAAGGGTTAAACTAGAGGAGAGCGAGACTGGAGGCTAGACCAGGTAGGTTAATCAAGAAATTACTATGATAATCTAAACAAGAGGTAATGAGGTTGTCAGGGAGAGTGTTGGCAGTAAGAAGGTAGAGGACAAGAGACGTTGCAGAGGTAAAGTCAACAGGACTAGAGAGCTTCTGATATACTAAAGACATGAGAGAGGCCAGAGATGACTGAAGTTTTGAATCTGAGTGATTCTTTTAATAGAAGTAGTGATAGGAGGAGGGGCAGGTTTTATGGGAAAGATTATTTTGTTTGGACATGTTGAATAAGGTGCTTATGAGACATCCAGTTGGACCTAGTCAGTGTACGGTTGGAAATGGAGGACAGGGTAGACATCTGGGAATCATTGCATAGGGCTGCTAATTGAAACAATGTACACTGAACAAAGTCATCAAAGGAAGGAGTGTTAAGAGAGAGGGGGAAGAGAGGCAAGCATAGATAGAGCTTTGGAGATAATACTTAGAAAATGGAGAGGGGAGACATAGAAATAGTTTAAGAGATGTTTGGAAACGAAGGCAGGGTCTAATGTGAAATTGAGGAAAATAAGAAATGAAGAAAGGCATTGAATTTATTGATAAAGATCAGGAGTGAATGGGTAGTAAGAGGAAATGATGAAGGGATAAGATATAACTATGACTTTAGGGGTTAACAAAGTTGAACGAAGGTTTGGGTTGGGTTTTAGTATAGGGCAGGGCTTCTTAAACTTTTTCTACTCGAGTCCTCTTCAGCACTTCTTAAACTGTGGGTCTTGGGTTCTCAACCCACAGTTTAAGAGCTGCTGGATAGGGGATAATTGAACAAATGTTCAGCTGTAGAAGATTGGCTAAGCAAACTAGAAAGTACTATGTAGTTATTAAAATAGCTGGTGGACTATATTGATAAGTTGAATTGCGTATATATAAAGGAAGCGAAAAAAGCAGAACTCAAAGTAATACATAGAAACTGATTGCAGCTATATAAAAATACATCTGTACACTGACAAGGATTAGAAGAGAATTTGAAAAGCAGTAAGTAATGTTCCTTACAATCTTCTACAAATTTACACGATCTAGGTAGTTAAATAAAATCTAAATGACATTACATTTCCAAAAACTTGAATCAGGGTATGAAAAGCTTGCTAGTGGTCCTCATTGTCTTGTATATCCTGTAGAGCAAACAGCACAACTTTGGTTTTATAGCAGATCCTACAACTACGGAGTTTGCCTTTACCCAATATTTGGGCGTTTTTAGGACTGGAAGCAGTTTGTGTGATGCAAGTGACTGTCTAGCTTTTTCGGTTTTGTGATTTTGTAACTTTTTACTCAAGTAACTTTATGTCTGAAAGTTGGGATGCCTTGCCAACAAGCATAGTGAACTAGTGGCATGCCTATGATGGGGTGACTTAGGACTATTTTTTGTCACTGGGAGAAACTCTCATTCTTTCCAGATTTAACACAGGTTTTTAAGCCCATTGGGTTGTGGAATGGATTAGTAATGGCACTGACCATGTGTTACCTGTACGTTAATGTCTTTTTAATGTGTGTTTTCTCATCTTGCAGTGGATTCGGCTTGGGGCCAACATTTCCAACTTCACCTTTGCTCCCAGCACTATTATCTTTCACCTGGGACATGCTGGTAAGTGCCCCAGACAGCTAATTCTGTTTCACCTTTCTGACATTCAAACTGCACAGGCAAAAGCCCTGTTAAGTGAACCCACAACCTATTAACTATAATGACTTAATAGGATAACATTTCTTTCTTCCTCCTGGCCTTTTAGAATGGTTAATATGGTGATAAACCTGTTAGGTCCATCAGCTTATAGCAGGCTTCTCCAGGCAGCCCATTTACCTTCATTTAATAGCCATGTTCATTTCAAGAGATTACTTTATTATATCTTTACACTGAACCATCTTCCTAGATGAAGAGTGTTGATGGAGTTCCCCAGGGCTATCCACACTGCACTGTTATTCACATTTAAGGAGGTAGTATCTGCCCACTTATTCAAAAGAAGCCCACTTCAGAGCCAAATGAACTGATTCTACAGTGGGAATTTAGCATCCAAACCATGTATAAAAACACCATTTTATCATATAGGGATTTATAAACCAATTTTATGACTTTTGTCTGTGCCCCTCATAGAACCTCATGCATACTTCTTTCTTAGCAGCCTTTGTCATCCTCTTCCTTCTGGCCAAGAATGACTAGATTGAGATTCTGATGGGCCTGCTGTGATTAAAAAATAGATATATTTAGTCTTGCCAGATCAGGCTAGAAGGAATCTGAAAATGCTAATGACCCTTCGTCTCCATAAAAGGCTCTTAATTTTCAAAACACTGTCACATACATTTTCTCATTTGATTCTCACAAGTCTTCTGGGAGTTGGATAAGGCTAGGATAATTACTTTCATTTTTCGTCGGAGAGAACCAAGATATAGGTAGGCTAAATGAGTTGTCTAAGTTCACACTGCTAAGTGGGGGTCCTAGGTCTCTGACACTAAGCCACCCTTTGTCCTTTCCACGTATTTTTTCAGTTGTAGTATAGTTAAGGGTGCTATTTTTAAAGGTGTCACTACCATAACAAGTTTTTGATTTCTTTTGGTGTCTGACATTCATATCCCTTCTCTTAGCTATGCTTGGCCTCATGTATGTCTATTGGACTCAACTCAACATGTTCCAGACCCTGAAGTACTTGGCCATCTTGGGGAGCATCACATTCCTGGCAGGCAACAGAATGCTGGCCTATAAAGCAGTAAAGAGGTAAAGTGGGGTGAGGTGGGGGCATTCTGAAGGAAGACAAGAGCCACGAAGGGGATTGGTATCTCTTTATAAAATAATCTTGTTTTATGTTCTTAGTTACATCGGCTCTTTAATGGCCATCCTCACTGGGGGTTTCCACCTGGACCTGTACGATGACTTTTGACATTTCAAGCAGACAGTAGTTTGCCTATTTCCAGTGGGCAAAAGAGAAGCTAGTCAGTCAGCTGTTTTCAGGGTGAATCCCTGTTGGTATCAGTGCAGGTTGGGAGGTGGGGAGCATGAAGAAGGCAGCACATGAAAAAGATGAACTATTCAGTTGCGAAGAAAATGACTAGAGATAATTTGCTTCTTGGATTGGTATAATAGAATTAGCTTTGATCACGTGGCTTGGTGGATAAGGGCTATATATTCTAAAAAGGTATATGTCTTTAAATATATAAGGCAGTACTTGTCACTTGGATCCAACCTAGTAGTAGAGACTATAATCACTTTATGCCAGAAAGGGGCCATTTACTGATCAGCATTAAGTATATCGAAGCCTCAGCAATTTAAGTCTCTAGTGATTAGAATGAGGATGGGGAATAATTACTCTATGATGATTAAAAGGGTTTAGAACATCTGGCATGAGATTTGCTTTAATTCACCACATATAAACATTCTCTTTCCTTCCTCTGCTGAAACTGAGAGGTTCCTTTTATGCATAATGTCAGTTACCCTGCCCTCTGAACTCAGTAGAATTGCCATCCTGCTTACTACAGAATTACAACAGATCATGTCCGTACCCTCACCCCTTTGGTCCAGGGAAATCTTGTAAGATTCTCCTTCAGAACTTGAGACACTTTGCTTTTTCATCAAGTCCCTTTCCCAGAAGCAGCTACCTGTTCCTCCAGCCCCATGTCCTCCCAATGGGAGCCCCAACCTTGAATGTCCTATAAAGAGTCTCCACAGTACTGACTCAAGGTCTTACCTCTTACCATGGAGGTACCACCTCTTTGCCATGAGGAAAACAAGGCATTACAAACTCAAATTCACCTGCTCCTTTAATTGCCAGCCCTTGTGGTAATTCCAGATAGAGGGCAACTTGGATTTCCAAATTGAACTAAAGGCAGACATAACTACAAAGAATTCTTTCTATATGGTTTGTCTCTGTTAGAACTTGCATTTTTCCAGCCAGCTAAAGACTGTCAGATAAGGATAAAAATCATGTTTTGTGGGCACTGCTTTCCCTCTTCGAATTCACTTGGGTGTATGTACGTGTGCGCACGTGCGCGCACACACACACACACACACGCACTAATTTGGCCACCAGTTTAGCAAACCAGAGGCTGACAAACACAGAACAGAAAGTTTTGCCGTTGCCAAAGTTTCTATTGTTAAGTCTTCCAACTGTCTTACTGTGGAGCACTGAGCAAAGAAATATATCTGGACTCCTTATGGTAGTCTGAGCTCCACCAGGGCTTCCCTTAGCTCCAGCACTTGCAGCAACCTCATTTTTTTTTCACCTTCCCAGCTCCTTCAGATACCTTCATTTACCTTTGCAGTGCCTTTTGATGGGAGCTGAGTGCTCCAAGCAATTTTTGAAACAGACTAGCATTCTCTTGTGACTTAGTATGTAGAATCCCAGAGATAGCAGAAATACTTTAATTATGTGAAAATACCACTCTTTTGAAGGTGCTCTGGCAAACCAAGCAGGAATGTGAAGGGAAGTATTTGACTTAGGGTTTGTACTTCTTGACTTTGCTGTTTGATACTGGGAGAAGGCTGCCATACTGACTTGGGAGAGACAATTAGATTCTAACTGGAAAATAAGTGATACTAATGGAAGCCCTGGTGGTGTGTGTGCCTTTTCTTTCTTCTGCTTAATTCTCCTCCTCACTATCCTTTCTTGATTCTCAAACCCTCTTTCCTTTGGCAGGATCGCTGCAGAACAGAGCAGTAGATTGGCAAAATATAGGACACTACGGTAAACCCAAAGGGGGGGTCTTACTAATGACCAGCTCTTCCCAGAAGTAAGGGCCCTTTCTGAATTTACCTGCCTCACGCATGTTGGTTGTTCCATCTAATTCTCACCTCCCTCACTTCCTGGGCCCAAGCAGTATTATTTGAAACTTCTTTCCAACCTGCTGGATAAATCTGGGACTCTGGAACATAACAACCCCACCCCTGCCCCAGATAAGCCTGTTTTTTGGAGGTCTCCACATTACCTGTACCAAAATGGTCCCGTGTCTCATGCCTTATATGAAGGATGCTATGTCTCTCCTACCCTTCATTTTTATGAGGTGTTCTGTGCCTTTAAAGAGGTTCCTTGCTGACCACAGTATAGTAGAATTCAGCTCAATGTAAGTGGGATCAAACTTTGACCACCTTCAAGGGGACCCCACTCAATACCGAAAGGAACTCTTGTGAATCCCAAGGACCATGTTAGGAAGAGATGCCAGAGTATTTGAGGTGACTCTTTTCTGTGATAGGTGTTTGTGAAAAAGAGCAGTCAGTGCTGACAAGGGCCAGATTTAGTTAGTGGGACCCCGCTGTTGTGGGCTTATCCAGGTAGTGTCTTTCATCCTTGTCATAAATTTTTGGCCACTTTGCAGACTTAGATCACGAGTCTCGTTGAACTATATGATAAGATGAAGTGGACACCAGAATAAGGATTGGTGACCACAATAGCAAGGTGACTAGATAGCAAAACTGGAATCAGAAAATAGGTTCCTAGAGTTCAGAAAGTGTCCAGGAGTGGCCTGGTCTGCTTCCTGTGATTCCAAAATAGCCAGTTAAAACCCTTTCTTCATTTTTAGGTCATTGTTAATGAGACCCCTTTCCAGGGATCGGGAGTGATTGTTTGACACTATTTTTGATCAGTTCCAGTAGGCTTGTAACTAGAAGGAAAGTTATAATGATGATTGCATTTAAGAGGCCTACCTATGGTTGTTGCTTGTATTCAAAGCTGTTAGACCCCGCCAGACTGAAGCAGCATGGTTTTTGGTCACTTTTTCCAAAAGTGGAGAAATCAACATAGAATTTGACCTCATGCTATTTTATGAACCTAATCTGCTTTTCCTCAACCCTCAGTGCAGAAAGACAACTCTTGGTTTTGTCATAAAGTCTGCTTCCTCTGTCTGAGGCCTACTTGGGAAAGTATTGGTATTGAAGTCCCTGTTCTTTCTACTACATACTGATTATATTTAATTATAAAATGAGGCATTGGTTTGTTTCTCCCATATTACTTATGTTTAAGCCCACATAGATTTAGGGAAAGAGAAGTTAACTTGATCATTTGGACTTAGGGGATTTTCTGAGGTTGGGATTTTAAGAAAAAGCCCTTGGTCTTTATGTTTGTATCCTTTTGAGTCTGGATTGGCAGAGTATTTCCTGTCCTTACACTCAAAAGGGCAAAAATCTGCTAAATCATTTTGGGAGGGTTACAGTGCTTTGTACATAGTAGGCGATCAATAAATGTTTGTTGGTTAATTAATTGATTGGAGTTAGGGTGGAGAACATCAAAGCAAATCGTCAAGCCAAGGGAACAATCAGGAGTCGAGGTCAGGTAACCAGCCTGGGCTCGGAGATCCGGAGAGCAGGATCTGGAGTGAAGCAGAGGCAGCAAACAGAAAGCGAGGACAGGAGCACAGGAGATCAGGATCAGGTCGCCAATGCAACTTCAGGAACACTGGAGAGCGGAGTCGGGTTGCTAAGCCAAGGTTAGGAACAGAGATCATAGTCAGGAGGGGTAGGGGAAGCATAGAGACAGAATTTTAACTTATAGTTTGGGGCGGGGGGAATGCAGATCATCAGCAAAATAAAGAGTACCTAGAGGCCCTAAATACCTGGCTGAACCTAATGGTGCCTTCTCCACTTCACCCTGGCTTGAAAAGCTAATCTCTATTCTCAGCCTACCTGCTTTCCCCCAGGGCTTTAACATGCACTGAGAGGTGATAGGAGAAAGAAACTTCCTAGGACTCAAGGATATTACCTTTTTGTCCCCTTGTGCTACTCCCTTTCCTCCTCCACTCCCTTCTTCTTCCTTTCTCTCCCCTCCCCCCACCACATTTCTCAGTTATTCAGTGGAAATCAACCTACCACCCTTGATTCTTGGGCAAATATTTGAGTTTGAGGCATCAGCAGACAGTTTCTAGGCAGCATTTCTTAGCTACGAAATCATTTTGTTCACACCTATACTTCTCATTAATCTCCCTCTTTTATTGCTTATCCTCTCCTCTCCCCACTTTCCCACAAACTGGGTAGAAACATTGGGCTTAAAAGAATGCTTGGTTAAATAAGGGTGCTTTCATTGCATGCATATGCTGCTGTCTGCATGTCAATTTCCATGTGAATACATTCCATCTCTTCTAGTACTTAGGAAGGAGGGATGGATTAGAAGCCAAACCAGAAATGGAGAGGCCTCTGGATATGTTGAATTTGGCTGCCCCTTTGGTTGCTTGTGGTTTCCTAAGGAAAGACTGTTAAGTGTTCATGTCTACCCTTGGAGTTTGTTTCTTCATTAGATTCCTAACCCTCTCTGTAACTGAATCTTCACAATGTTGAATCCTCAGTGCTCTGTAGAACTGCAGAGTAGAAGATGGCATTCTTCTGAGCTTCTCTTTGTCCCTGACAGAGCTGAACTGATTTAATCACTTGAACTTCTATACTTCCCTTGTAATGTGGCCATAGCCAGGGTTGGAATTGTTGCCTGTTGTGCTTTTGCAAACTGAGAAAAGGGCCACAGGGAAGGAGGGATCGTGATTACACAGTAAAATCTCGAGTGTTTCTCCCATGAGATTTTGTTCCAGTGAGCCAGCTTCCCTTCCTAAAAGCCAGGCTTTCCTTGGGTTGGAAGCATAGCTGGTCCAGTGGCAACTTGTAGGGGGTTTTGAAGCCCTTAACGCTTCCATGCATAAGACATTGTTTGGCAAGTTGGAGTCAAGATCCAGGCCAAATGTTCTTTAACCTTTTTTCTGTTCCCTTGCTTTTCCTCTGGTTGAGATTCACCCTGTATTTGGGGGCTGTATTGGATGTAGTGTCACTGGCAACATCTTGTCTCTTCATATTTCCACATCTCATTCTCCATATTTGTTCATCTTCTGTGTCTATGACCTTAAGAACCAGGATCTTTCAGTGTCAGAGATGCTTGATCACCTGGTTGTTATTAGGTAGGAGCTGCAACAACAGATTACAACCTGAGATAATTTTGCATTTCTCTCCCTCTTCTTTCAGAACAACACAGTAGTACCAGAAGGAAGAAGGAAAGTCTAAAAACTTAAAAGAATGTTCCATGGAATAGAAGCCAAGGAACAATTTACATCCTGGAGAGTGGAACATTGAACCAATTTTTGTTTAAAACAAACAAACAAAAAAAGTCCAGGATCTTATGGTTGTACTTTTGCTTGTCTTTTGTTTTTTCACTCTCCTATTGAGCAACTCTCTGTGAGCCTGGATGTTCGGTTCCTTTGGAATTGTGGCCATCAGCCATCAAGCAACTGTGACAGATTTCTTAAGAATGCCCAGATGTTGAGTTTTGGAATGTTTGAAGTCTAATTATTGTGATTTGCAATAAAGAGTCTGATGAGAGGAACTGAGACCTCTGAGAGTTTTATTCAAATATTTCTGGGGTGGTGGATTTCTAGTGTGCGTATCACATAGTAGGTATGTAGTTCAGTTTGCTTGGCAAAAAAGCTAAGCAAGTTGACAGGAGCATTACTTTTGGCAATTCTGGTCATGGTCTCATATAACTTCTCACTTGTTCTCGTGTTAGCATTGGGAGTTTCCTTTGTTTTTACCCAATGTGATTCTGTTTCCTAAGTGAACACCAGCTGTATCTTGGGGTCTAGTATCTAACTTTCTTCAGCATCTAGGATTTCTGCTTTAACAAATATAGCATGTAGTTTGGATGAGTGGGCAGATACTGTCCAGGGTCCTGAAACAGGAGAGGCCATATGAATTCTGTAATCAGGCCCACTTCTGATCAATAGAGGTGAGATCATAGACTCATGCATTTAGGGCTTTAATGGACTTTGGAAGTCATCTAATCCAGCCGCCTCACAGATGAAGGAACAAAGGCTCAGAGGGATGTGATGTTACACAGATGGTGAGTAGCAAAGTCAGAATCTGAACTCGAATTCTCTGATTCCAAATCTCAGGCTCTTTGTATTAAACCACAGTAAACCACTTTGCAATTGTAGTCACCTTCCCAAGAACAAGTGTCTTGAAGCTTTGAGCAGGGTTGGCCTTATCTATCTAAGTAGAATAATATGATGTAATTTCAGATGTGTTGGAAAAGCCCCCTTTGCCCAAAAACCCTTTCATAAGACCTCAAATTCTTCACTGTTAACCTTTCCTGAAATTCCAGCATTTAAAAAATTCATAGTTCACCAATCATTTTGAATGGCAGTTTAGAATTATGCTTAAAAAATGACTAAGTGGCAGTGAGGTGGTGCAGTGGATAGAGCACCAGCCTTGGAGGCAGGAGGACCTGAGTTCAAATCTGGCCTCAGACCAAATACTTGACACTTACTAGCTGTGTGACCCTGGGCAAGTCACTTAACCCAATTGCCTTAAAATTAAAAAAAAAATGACTAACATATTAACATCCAGAGAGTCCACTGCTAGGCAGATCAAAGACAGAAGTAAAGAACCGACATATCCCAAAGTACTGATTGATTTTAGTTCTTTGTGGTAGCAAAGAACGGGAAATAAATGACCATTGATAGGACAATGGCTAAACGAACTGCGGCACATCGATAGAAGAGAAAGAAACAATTTGAAAAATTTAGAGAAGTAAAGGAAGCCAGTATAGTGTGATGGATGGGGCACTGGAACCCTTAAGACCTTGAATCCTGCCTCAGACATATAGTAGCTTTGTGATGGTGGGTAAGTCACTTCACCTCAAGTACCTTCTCTGTAAAGTGATGTGGTTGAACTTGATGGCCTCGAAGGTCACTTCTGATCTAAAATCTGATCCTGTGACTTACATGAACTGATAGAAAGGATCAAGTCAAAACCAGTAAAATAACATGTACAATAACTAACAACATAAACAACTAAAAAATAGAAACTGAACACTAATGATTAATGACCAACATAGTCCCTGAGAAGAGTAGAGAAAAATACACCACTCTTCTCTCTTTGCAAAAGTGGGGGATTATGGATGTGGAATATATTGGCATATTCCGTCAGACATAGTTCATGTGTTGGCTTGCTTTGCTTAATTACCTTTTTTAATCTTTGTTTTAAAGGATGACTAGCTGAAGGAAGGAGGAAAGGATATGCTTAGAAAGGTGGCATAAAAATAAGATTTAAGTTTTTGTTTTTTGTTTTTTAAGAAAATGAATCCCTCTCCCCCAAATAAATTTGTGTGAGTTAATGGGTCATTTTTAAAAAAACAAATAACTTTGGATTACTTGGGCTATTAAATCATTCATATTTCAGAGTAAAATTTTTTAATAATCAAATGTATTTTCTCCTAACATCCACTGAGAGCAATTACATTGAGAACAGAAATGTTGATCCAGGGGGTTAAAGAGAGGCATTTTGAAACCTGAGACACTTGGGAAAAGCAGGCCTGGGTAGGATAATGGAGTGTGCAGGTTAAAGCAGCATGGGTATCTCTGGTAGGTTTATTTTTTTGGATCTTGTTTCCCTTACCAGAAAAAGTATCGACCTTTTATTGCTGTGTGTTGTGCCAAATCACCTTATTCCTTTTAATTACAACTTCCTTTGCTCTTCCCTTTAAATTATCTTAGGCTGATAATGAAGCATTCTTCTCCTTCTTGGTAGAAAGGCTTTGGACAAGAGGTGCAGAATTTATAGGTAGCCAAGGTGTTGATTTATTTCCTTGACTATGCCTGTTTACTAAGAGGGAAAGCTTTTTGGGGGGAAGGCAGTTGGTGGGTAGTGAGAGCAGTACAAAAAAGTCTATATGGAAAGGAAAGGAAAAAACATCAACGCAACAATGTAATCTACATAAAAGCAGAAGGAAGTTCAGGAGACCTGGCAAGCTGTATAGTTTTGTTACCACTGTGTTAAGTTTAATGTAGACTAAGAAAAAAGCAAACTGTATAAACAAATTCATGGTTTCATGTATAGCCCTCTTTGTATATTGAAATGTTCATGTTTTTGGATGTTTAAAGTTCATAATAAAAAAAAATGGTTTTTAATCCCAGAAAATGCCTGGACCTTGTTCTCTCTGTTTCTTTGTTCCATCTGCCTAGCCACTGCCTCTTTTTTTGTTTGTTTGTTTTTTGGTGAGGCAATCAAGGTTAAGTGACTTGCCCAGGGTCACACAGCTAATAAGTGTCAAGTGTCTGAGGTCGCATTTGAACTCAGGTTGTCCTGACTCACAAACCAGAACTTTATCCACTGTGCCACCTAGCTGCCCCATTACTACGACTTCTTTAAGGTCCTCAAAGCTTTACCCTCTCTCCTGGCTTCTGGACACCTGATGCTATCATCTGATTTACTGATATGATCTACAGATGCTTATACCATGGCATCTACCCTGTCAACTCAACATTTGGTAAGGCCCTTCTAGGCCTTTCTTTTGACTGCCCTAACTTTCTTTTGTGGGTCATCTCCCCCCAAATCAGAGTGTGAGCTCCTTGAGGCCAGTGACTTTCACTTTTTCTGCTCTTCTTTCTAGTGCTTGCATGTAGTAAACATTTAATAAACCCTTTTCCATTCTTTTATTCATGTCCCTGGAATAGGAAGCAGGCTTTCAGGTAAGCATAGCTGTGCCCAGGGCACTAGCACTGCCTGGGAACAGTATGTAAGTCTTTCTGTATTTAGCCAATTAGAAGGAGCTGTCTCAGTTCAGAGGTATACCCATCTGTGGGACTGTTACTGCATGTTTCCTGAAGGACCAGTTCTCCCCTTGAAAGTTGTATATTCCACAGATTTAAATGTTTGTTTAGAAAAAAATAGAAGATAGATCAAAAACAAAATGGTTCCAATATCCAATAGTGGGAAAAATTCCCTCCATATGTTCATAGGGAAAGGTTAAGGCTTATAAGATGCCCATTAGTACAGTTGTTAATTGTAATAATTATACTTGTATAATTATACATTGTATTATATAATTATTGCTACATTATAGTAATAATTATATAACAATTCTAATTATTATTACATGACATAATAATTATAATTGTACTTATTGCTCCTAGACTGCCACCCCTTTTTTAAAAAAACCGAATGTATCTCATAAACTCAGAAGTAGTGTGGGTTCCAGTGGCCATTATTTCATTTGAAAAACTTAGATTGAGACCTTCCAATTTTGCTACTGTAGGTACAGGCCAAACCGACCAACCAAAAGTGGTTAGAGAGTGTTCAATATGTGTGGAGTATAAGAAAGGGGATTATAAAAGATGGACCTGTGAGCTTTGTGATTCTGACTCATTGATTCCTTGCAGTACTTCTCGAACTTTTCCTCACTGAATTCTCTTTCTCAGCTCCCAGAAATGTCTTGCTTCCTCTCAGTATCCCTCATGCAGTCTCTTGAGATTGTTCTCCCTTCTTGTTTTCGTTGCTGCCATCAAGGAACCAGACACAGGATGCTGAGTGCTCCCATAGTTCTTACCTTCCACTCTGTCTTTTCAAGAGTGGGGCATTAATGGGTGGTTAGTGTCACAGGTCTTCCTAATTTGATCCTTCAAGTAGTTCTCAGGGGAAAAAAATGCTTTCTAGACCATATGATTTCAACTTCGAAAAGAAATTTGACTCCTATTCTTCAAGACCACATATAGACTAAGAAAAAAGCAAATTGTACAAAATCATAGCCTCATATAGAACCCTCTTCTGTTCTTTGTATACTGAAATGTTCATGTTTGTGGATTTTTAAAGTTCGTAATAAAAAAGAATTTGTCAAGGCATGGCTTAATTCTGTTTCTTGGGCAAGGTTTAAGATTTGGAAAAGAGATTGGGTTTGGGGATTTTGTAAGTGAAATGGAAACTGCCAGGCCAAAACAAAGTTTTTCAATAACCTCATTTTTATGTCCTGATGCTCAATTATAATGTAGATTGATTGTGGCCAATAGATCATTGGACCAATTTGATCTTCCTCTGAAAAGATCTAAAGAGGTTTAAAGAGAGTGGGACATTGGTGGATGTATATATACGTATATATATCTGGAACACTGCTAAAATTACTTTGCTATTTTTCTCAGCAATACAACGATCCAAGACAATCCCAAAGGACTTGTGATGAAAAATGCTGTCCACATCCAGAGAAAGAACTGATAAGAGCCTGAATGCAGATTGAAGCATGCTATTTTTCACTTTTTTTTAAATAGTTTTCTTTTGGTCTGTTTTTTCTTTCATAACATGACTAATATGGAAATGTTATATGTGATGGCACATAAATAACCTATATCAAATTGATTATCATCTTAGAGAGGGGGAGGAAAAAGAGGGAAGGAGAAAATTTAGAACTCAAAATCTTAAAAAATTGAATGTTAAAAATTCTCTTCACATCTAATTGAGAAAAAATAAAATATTTTTAAAAAATTTTAAATTATTTTGCTATAACTTTTTGTTACCTGAGGAAGTAGAAAAAACAAAAACTAATGGGTCTAGGGTCAA